CCACTTGGATGTACTCAAGTACTTTCATGAACTCCAACTATCGGGAGAAACTCGGTTGCAATGCACGGAAAACGCTATGGATGGTGCTGCGCAGAATGGACACTTGAGTGTGGTGCAGTATCTTCACCATAACAGAGCAGAGGGCTGCACTACTGCAGCGATGGATCAAGCTGCAGCTCATGGCTACTTAGATGTGGTCAAGTGGCTACATCAGTATCGAACAGAAGACTGCACACGAGCTGCTATGGATGGAGCAGCTCTACCCGGACATCTCGAGGTAGTACAATGGCTGCACGAGAACCGAGCAGAAGGGTGTTCTACGAGAGCTATGGACAACGCAGCCACGACCGGACACCTCGATATGGTTAAATGGCTACACCTGAATCGGTATGTACCCAAGATGCGCCGCAGTACAAGGCCATCTGCATGTTGTCAAATGGCTACATGTCCATCGAACCGAAGGTTGTACAGAACGAGTCATGGGCGAAGCTGCTGAGATTGGCCACCCCAAACTTGTGCAATGGCTTTTTACTAACCGCAACGAAGGATGTACACCCTCCGCCATTAGTTATGCTGCAGGATTTAATCACTTTGTAGTGGTATTGTTTCTCCATTCTCAGTGTCATGCTGACTGCATGGAGGAAGCCGCATTTCTTACAGAGGAAAACGACTACCCTGAGATGCGTACGTGGATACTAGAACACTATCCCGCTCTTCGCGACATTGTCATGGAATACTAAAATGCGAACAACTCAATACATTTATCCGGACAATAACAACCCTTCCTCATGGCTACATTGCTGAGGTCCCTCATACGTCCAGATCGTCCGATAGGATGTCGGATCCGGAAAGTGAAGCCATGACGTTGTAGGCCTGGTATCCTTCCGCTTGGTCGCGTGCTGCTGGCAATGCATCCATTTGCGTGACTTCACTCATACACATGACACAGAATGTGATTTTGTGTCGAAGAAGCTTCCCATCCGGAGTGAGGAAGCTGATCCCTTTGGGACGTTTGCACTTGTGGCATACAGGGTTCATACAGAGTTTACACACACTCTTCCGCAAAGTCGCCACTCTAGGGAACCCGAAACTTCCAGGCGCCAGATTTCGAGCACAAGCTGTACAAGATTTGTCACCGAGCACACTGCGGGTGCTGCTTCGATGACGGAACGATCGAGTCTCCGCTTGGCGGTGTTGTAGCCTCCACGTGAGCTTCTTGGCTTGGCCACAGATGACGTAGTTTGTGGTGGAAAGTAGCGCTTCAGCTGAGGCTTTTAGAGCCACCGATCGGAACACTTTACCGCCAGGATGGACAGTATCGAAGGCGTACGTGTCGATGACGTTGGGGCTGATTTGTCGATAGAAACCGATGATCTTGTGGCGAGCACGGATCGTTCCGGGGAGTGGCTGAGTGTTTGGGAAGTCGATGGAATGAAGAAGCTGGTAGCCGACGCGGTCCCCGTTCGCGAAATGTAGAATACCAGTCGCTTCTAGACAGACAAAGTCGCGGTTTTGAATCAGTCCAGTCTGGTTGAGTGGGAGGTTGATCTGGGTCCATTTGATGGATACAGAACGGAAAGGGTCTTCCACGGTTGGTACGATGATGTTGGCAAGTACTGCGCCGTCGCTGTAGTCCTTGACATACGAGGCCTTGACCCGCATGATCTCCTGTGTCGGGTTCACAGTACCGAACATGAGGTCGTTTAATTCTCCCTCGAAAGTCCCCACAGCGAGGATGATAGGCATGTGTTTCTGCCAACTATCGTTGGGTTCTTGAATGGGAATGTCATCTTCGAGGCTGTTGTTATAATCTTCTCGTTCTACGTAGACGTGGAGGTTATTGTCGTCACCGATGGCCTTCCATTGCGCACGCTTCACCTTTCGTTTATCGACGACTACGAACTCTTCGTATTTCGGGAAGACTTCTAGAATCATATCCGACTCCAGTCGTAGCAGGCTCTCCCGATCTGCTTCGGTGAGCTTTAGGTTTGGATAGGGATTGGAGGTGAAACTCGTCTTGCCCATTGTGGTAGTTGGAAGCGATTTGAGTTGTGACGAGCGAGAGCAGGACGAGGTTTAAGATCCGAAAAGACCAGCGGTCTCCTGTCCCGCTCGAGACCGCCAGCACACTGCTCTGACGTCTGCTAATTGCGCGTGACAGGGCGGCTTCGCAGCAACGTAAGTGAGCAACGAGCACGTACTTCGAAGTACCTGTTGCCGTCTACCCCCATCACATTTTGGCCAGGTGGGTCGCCTTGAAACAGGCTTGGTACAGTACAATAACCTGCGCCATCGTGGCAATGCACTCGGGTGCAGGTGGTACGACACCTATGCAAGAAGGAGTTACAAGTTCAACAATGCAATGAGGGACAAGTTTGAATACTTAGGATTTAGAACGTTTGTTTTTAGAAGTTGAGGTGGAACCTTGTTTAATTTGCAGAAACGAAGTGGATCGTCATTTATTCTGATATTTGAGACGCTACACACTACTCAATATAGCTTCTGGAGGAGGATGAGCGCTGAGTACATGTATTGGCGGTGCTCTGAGGAGCGACAAGGATCTACTGTTGGAGCGACAAGGATCTACTGTTGGAGCGACGGCATCCAGGTCTATAGAGTACCAAACGATTCTAAAAATAAAAAAACTTCGCCATACTTTTCATTCTTGCGGCATCATCCAAACTTCTCTCTTGATGCAACCCCTGATAACTGCCCAGTTAGGCGTCATCATGTAGAGTCTGCGGCGCTGTCATGTCAGGCTTTTAGATTTATTTTTTAAAGGACATTTAGCAAGCATTGATTGCAGAAATTGGGTATGATCGGCTTAAAAACTAGGGTGGAGATTTCTCTCTACCGCCCTTTAGGGAATCCATGTAAATCAATTAGATGTAAATAAATCAAATTAACATTCGACTTCATGTCCTTGCAGGTTTATATTTATTTTGGCACAATTATCTCTGGTTGATAATAATTGCAGGAAGGCAAAATGACAGGTTGGGAGGGTTTTTGTTTGCCAAATCTTATTGAACAAGTGATATCAATTTTCAAATCATATTGAAAGTGTTAAATGGAAGAAGAATCGAAAAGCAGTGTGACTAGCAGCTCTAAGCAATACAATTGCGTATAGATCCCTGCTACACGACAAGCTAACAGGCAACCGCTTGGCTCGCCGGAGCTTTGCCTTCCCCAGGTGTGGTGTCTTGTACAAATGACCTCCCTTCTGTCGCAGCATTTCCAGCATGCACGCCTGTAGAGACAGGAAGATGTTATCCACTGTGTCAGTCTTCATGCCTCGAAACGCCTCCTCCACCGACGCAATAAGAGCTGCGATACCCTTTCTTGGTAAACGATGCTGTAGGCTCTGCATGGACGCAAATACTCCCAAGTCGAGACAATTTAGATCCGGCGAATTGGGAGCTTGACACCAAATCCTGATGTTCCAGCCTCCTTCGGTTCCGCTGCAACGATGTCCAGGTTGGACGGTGGAACATGAGACTTTGCGTTATCTTGTTGAACAAAGATAACCTGCCGCGGTCCTTTCTTGGCTACTTTTCCTTAATTGCCGGAAACACTTTAGTCAGCAAGTAGTTCTTGTATACTGTCCGATCAACCGTGTCAATATTGCGAGTGAAAATGTCTCCTTTGGCTCTGTTCTTGCTTCGCCGCTTTGCCGCGTACTGCTCGTGAAAGACCATATTCCTACTTTTCCATCCCAGTGTTGCTTACGAGGGGGTTCGTACCTAGTCAAACAAACAAATTATGAATGGTTATTAAAATTTTAAAATATAAATTATTGAGATTTACCGTGGTCGGGCCAGTGCGGCCAGGAACATTGTCTTGGGGATAAAGCGCTTGCTCTTTCAGACCCGTGGGAGGAGTTCTTCGCCGTCGAAGACAAGGTAAGAACGCCGGTTACGGTCAGCGTAAAACCATTTCTCGTCAACGTGAAGAAGATTGGTCATAGGCTCAAAGTGTAGCGTTGTGTCGTCGACGAACGACAACGCGTGCTCGACACGCTGTAGCTTGTTTTGGCTGCTAAATGCTAGCTTGATGAACGTTGTTTTTCGCGATATAATGCTTTCACTCACCGCCCGACGTACGAGATGTCGAGAGATTCCAGCAGCCTCAGCAACACGACGCTCAACGGAACGGTCTTCAACAGGTACTTTTGCCAGCTTCTCCCTCACCTCATCGCGGTTTTTCCGCTTCCTACCCCACTTCGTTTTGATCTGGCTAGCCCATACACCACCTACGACACCTTCGGCGACGGCGACGGCGACGGCGTACCGCTTCCATATACGACTCACAGTAGTGGGTGCACAACCCAAATTTAGACTGATCTTAACATACACTCCCGAGGGCAAAACGCCGTTGTCACTTAGCTTGAGAAGTTCGTCAATGATGGCTTTGCGCTCGATATCGGTTGGATTAGGCTTGGGCATGTTTTGGAATGGAGGTTGGCAGAATTGCAGTCGTGGCGGGTATGGCTTCAGATTGCACTTGGTACTTGCAGAGCACAACTTGTAATGGTGAAAGCTACGCACGTCCGTTGGAGGTGAAACTGGTGGCTATCGAAAGAGGAAATTCGAGGCTTTTGTTTAAGCCAATTAGACGCTGTAAACACGTAGTTTAGTCGGTGTTATTGGTCAAAAAGTCTGAAACCTGCAATCATTATCAACCAGAGGAAGTCGAATCATTTCTTAAGTTTTTCCTGACTTACAACTCCGTATAAGATCTTTATAACAGCTCTGGTTTACTCAAACTTGTCGGTTGCTTTCAAATACTTTTAACGTCATATTCGGTTTTCAACACGAATGTAGTAACGCGCATTAATGCTAGCCATTGAAACTAAGTCATTGTGCTACGAAACAGGATGCTGTTACTCGTTCATAAGGACGCACGTTAAACATTTGCATGATATATTTGGTAACGTGATTCCAATGGGGCCTCTTGTTTGTTGCGAAGTATATCGAAATAATCACTGTACATAAAAACTTGGTAGGTCGGAATAATCCCAGTGTTTCCACATTAGCCCGAAACACTTGAAGGAAAATAAGGCAGCGAAGTGCAGGGGTTTCTTTAATTAAAAATGCTCGATCATTCAAATGACCCTCGTAAGGAGATTCGTGTCTCCATTTATTTAATACTAACTCAACACTCGAAAAAAAAATGCTCCTTTACACTCGTGAAGCTCGAGAGTCTAACTGCTACCCTGGACATCCGTCCAACCAGGTCGGTGTTGTGCTCAATTATTGATATTTCAAAAAGTGACTAGCATAGCACAATATAGTGGTAGAATTTGTGACATCATAACTGGGATAATAACAGGCACATCCGTTTCACCAAAGCAACAAAAACTATTCGCGTCATTAACGTACGGTGCGCGGTGAGCGCTTTACACTGTGATGCAGTATTCAAGGTCAGCTATAAATGCGTTGTGATTTTTTCCAGTTTAGATTTGAACGCGCTGTATCCTGCGGTGCTACGGTAGCCTTGAATGTGATTAACCGCTCAATTGCGGATCGTCGATATAATTCTTTATTCTTTTGCATCTCCACATAGCGTCGTGTATGATTCCCACATGAATCACAACATCGAAGAGACGCGGCTGCGTACGCTAAAATAAACGCACTGTCCGGAGACATAGCGATGGATCAGCAGTCCCATTTTACGCGTTTGTGAATAAATCGTTTTGTAGTGGTCAGAGATGCAGCATATCAAACAGATACCCCGGAAGAATCGGTCTTCTTATTGCGCTGCTAACGTAATCTCTCGATATCGCCACCGCGTCTTAAGACGACATGATAATATGCAGCTGACAGTAATGTTTAGAATTTAGATTTCGGGCAGGGATCGCTACAGATGACGACTCAAACGGGCTCCAAAACAAAATCGATCTGCTGAGAATCTAGATGTTATCAAAGGCGGCAAGTGGCGGCCAAAACAGCATGGATTGGAGAGTGGGGTATTCGGATGTAACGTCAAATAACAGAAGACGGGGTAACACGATCCGGAGAAAGATTGTTTTTCAATACAATCCGCGTGAAGGGAATCAATCTATATTATGGAATGGATGTTTGGAAGGGAGATGTTAGCAGCTATAACATCAGTTCTCCGAACATACCTGTATGCACAACAGGCGTAAAGGGAGTTGTCATGCTGTACGTTTTGAGTTTATTGGAGGGACTTCATTTCGTCTCTGGGCCTTTCCCGACTCCGCTATACCAGGCTGTGAGGTAGATTTAATCGATGACGAACGACTGCAAAGCTGATCGTGAAATTACACCCTATCTCGACCAAAGTCCCTCTCTCTCTCTCTCTCTCTCTCTCTCTCTCTCTGAAGTCACTCAGATATAGATAAGTAGCGTCGCTCATTTCGTGATAGACACGTAAAGATTCCACGCTGATGCCATCCATAGTTACAAGATTTCGAGTACGGTACGTACGAAGTTCTCAAATCAAGAAGCTCTTATGACGCATGACGACTGGTGGGAGCACGGAGGAAGAGCGACGAACGGAGAGTCCGAGTCGAGGAGCAAAGGCGAGAAAGAGCGACGAAAGGTAAGGATCAAGAGGCAGTTGTGGTGGGCATGAAGAAGGTAAATTGGAAAGTGAGCTTTAAATGGTAAGTTGTTTGTCGGCGACGAGGTAGTGCTAGTTAGCGGTCCCTAGATGCCCTATGCATTTATATGCATTTCACTATACTAGATTCTACGTTGTCCTTGAATTGTATCTTGAAGTAGCGTAGCGTGGTAGTGGACCGCGGTTCACTCGAACCGGACTAGAATCTTTATAATGAAGTCGAGTGTAAAAGAATGCATATCTTTGGAAGTGTTCTTTCAAACATGGTGATCGCCTTCAGCCAGGCGTGCGGCTGCGTGGTCGCTCATTGGCGCAAAAGGGACGACAGTTAGACGCTAAACGTACCAGCACCATGATCAACGATAGCTATGACGTTGGTGTGGCGTAACATGACGCTTTATAAAACTTACGGGGCAGTGCATCCAACGTACATAGCGTGAAAAAACTTCAGCGCCCCCGGACAACGCCACGTACCTCATTCGTTAATGGCAATCCTGAACAAATCATTGTCTGTCGCATGTCGTATCCGTGTTTGCACGACACGTTCTCTTCACTGAGAAAGAATGCTGTTTCCGATTCGACAAGAATGCTCACAGGCCGATCGTTCTCACGGCAACGGGACCAAGTTGATGCGGTAATACTTAGTTTCTTGCCAAAGCAAAATTTCAGCTACGAGAACAATTGCCACGGCGAAAACAGCCTCGTACGCTGTCGTCGCACGTATCACGATCGCCACATCCATGACAGCTAGAAAAAATTCAAATCAACATCATCATCCTTTTTTGTAATGGGCGGATTCTGTTTGAGACCGCGAGAAAATACACTATCAGGTCGTTATTACAACTAAGTCTCTCTCTCTCTCTCTCTCTCTCTCTCTCTCTCTCTCCCTTTTTTTTTCTTAAAGTCATATTGAAACCGGCGCGACACTGTACTCTACATGCCAACTTTAACACCATTCACTTGAAAAGATCTCGTCTAGTGATAGTTGTTAAACAACGGCTCTTTAACTTAGTGCGTGCCAAGGCCCCAATCAATGATTCAAACCCTGAGCACTCGTTGAAAATGTCGAGGTTTAATCATGGTAAAATTACATTGCGTCCGTTAATTTTCAAAGCTCTAAATGGACATAAACGTGGTATGGCAATTTGGAGGTCTCATACACAACGGTCGTGCTACAGTTATTCAATCACCCTACATTATTGGGCTAATATGGACCTTGAGAAGACGTATATACTTAACAGCTAAACTAACATGCATCCACAATAAACAACACGATCGATGTGCCCTTGCCCGATCCACTTAAGTTGTGTTGTAGGCATGGAAGCCGTTAGCCTGGTCACGTGCTGCATCAATCGCGTTGATTCGCGTGGCCATGGTGATGCAGGAGCCGCAAAATGTGATCTTGTGTCGTAGCAGCTTTCGATCCGGTGAGAGGAAGCTGATAGTTTTTACCTCCTTGCACCCGAAGCACAAGCCACCCAAACACATCTTACATTTGTCCTTCCAAATACCATTTAAACAACCAGGCTGGAGGTTACGACGGCACGTCACGCAAAGGTCTCCTTGGCGCGGCATGGGAGCTAAATCACCCACACGTAGGGCTGCCTGACGCCTTTGTAGCATCCACGTCAATTTCTTCATGATGCCGCACTCAACGTAGTTCGTAGCGGATAGTAGGGCATTGGCACATACCGGTAATACCACCGACTCTAGTAGATTACCGCCCGGTTCGACCGAATCGAACGCGAACGTGTCGATGACATAAGGGGCGATTTGCCGGAAGAACCCGGCGATATTGTGCTTAGCACGGATCACGTTTGGCAGCGGCTGCACTAGTGGCGACTCAATCGAGTGCAGCATCAAGTAGCCGACGCGCTCGCCGTTGGCGAAGTGTAGAATGCCCGACGCCTCCAGACAGAGAAAGTCGCGATCCCTAATGAGCTTAGTGGAGCTTAGAGGCAGGTCGATTTGTAGCCACTTCACTGTCACCGAACGGAACGGATCCTCTGGTGTGGGTCGCACCAGCGTGGCCAATACGGCGCCGTCGCTATAGTCATGCACGTACGAGGCCTTGACGTGCATGATGTCGTCGGTCGGGTTGACCGTGCCGAACATGAGGTCATCCAACTGCCCTTTGAAGGTGCCGACACTAAGCACGACCGGCTTAGCGCCGGCACTGTCGTATTCCTCGACATCTGGGCTGCAACAGTTCGGGTTGCAGCTACTCTTGCTCACCGTCTTCTTTGTGCGCTTCGCGTAAATGTGGAGGTCGTCCTTGGACTTAAGGTGTCGCCAGCGCGCCGGATTGACTTGCGAGTTGCTCATGACGTACTCCTCGTACTTGCGGAACGTGTCCTCGACCAGGTCGTTCTCAATCTCCAGCAGCATGCGCTGGTCCTTCAGCGTGAGCGGCAGCTGGTGATACGGGCTCATGTTGAAGCGGTCTTTGGGCATCGTCGACGCCGCAGCGGGCGGGTTTATTGCGTTGTGGTGGACAAGGCAGCTCGTGTACTAGCTTTGCTACGCTAATCAACTAGCTTTCGAAAGCGACACTAGCAACTGCAAGTCCGTGATGAGAACAATATCTATTTGTATGGAGCACGCCGTTAACGGGGCCCGTCTAGAGTAGCTGGAGACCAGCTCGCTGGCGTACCAGTGTGATCGAAGCTGTGCTACAGTCTCGAGCTGGAGCTGGAGTGCGGGTTCGATGACTGGTCTGCCGGGGCAGCCGCGTCGCTGTTCGACGGCCCACCACGGGCGACTTGCGCGATTAGCAGGGCACTCCTCGTGATGACGCGGGTGAGGCCTCCGACCGTGGACGATGGGCCACTGTGGCACGGCGAGGACCCTTCTCAATCGCTTGAGCACGATCTGTAGGGGCTACAGATCTGTGTCGAGGGAAGACAACGCCGAATGCACCTGCTAAGCACTGGCCGCGTACTCCACGTATCATCACTCGACGCTGAAGTTCAGCGATAACGGGCGGGCATTGCCCGCGGACCCCGCACGACTGTTGTTTTGCGTTGGTTCTTCTGTCTGTTAAGGCGTCGAGAATGGGCTTGACCGGGATAGTTCTCGCCGAGGGTGCCGGCATTCGCTCTACGGCCAGCGAGCCCACCGCAACCGTGATGTCCCCCATCGTCCGCTTTGATTCGAACGTGTACGAGGAGTTGGTGATGATGCACCCATCCCGTGCGTTCCGGTTGATCTAGGGTCATCAAAATGATGTCGCGAGGCGGAGAAGATGCTTGCGTCCACTCTGGTCTCGCTGCCCAACTGTCCAAATCATTGCCTGCTGACTGCTTCCTCCTCGCCTCAACTTCGGTGCAGTGTGCTGGAACCGTCGCGTTCTTCCGTGAGTTGGCTACAGCCGTTGACACTGCGTGTTGTCATCTCCATGCACGTTCACAATCAAACTCAACTTGAGGCCGACAAGCTGCCAACCACCTTCATCATGCTCACGTGGCTCCTCGACGTGGACGACCCGTTCAAGAAGTTCGGGCTGTTGATGCTCGGCGTCTTCGTTGGAGCCGCCGTCGCCTCGCAGTGTATGCCCAGCGACAATATAGACAAGAAGCTGTCAAAGCAGCAACAAACCGTCACGCCGGGCGCGCGTGGCCCGACGCGAGTGCCGTTCCTACCATCCGCGATCCCAGTCGTGGGACACGCCGTGTTCATGGCCTACCACGCCAACCGGTTCCTCGACTGGGTCACGGACGTCTTCCTGTCTCGCAACGGTGCGCCGTTCACACTAAGCTTACCGTTCCAGCGCAACATGATCCTCACTGCCAACCCGGAGCACTACGAGCACGTTATGAAGACGCAGTACGACAACTTCCTCAAAGGGGACCACATCTACGACCTGCTCGTGGATCTGTTGGGCGATAGCATCTTGATCGTCGAAGGGGAAGAGTGGAAGTTCCACCGCCGTGTGTTCGTCAACCTCTTTAGCTCTAGAGCACTACGAGAGCACATGGCCCCCATCATTCAGAAGCACGTGCGTGTGCTTCAGCACGTGTTGGCGGAGGCGACCAGGACGGATGAACCCATCGACATGTTCACGTACTCGGGTCGGTTCACACTGGACGCGTTCGGAGAGATCGCGTTCGGCTTTAACATGAGCACACTCACACTACAGCACGAGCATCCGTTCGAACGCGCGTTCGTGGACGCGCAGCACATCGTGGCGGCGCGACTGGTCGTGCCCACGTGGTATTGGAAGCTCAAACGCTGGCTGAACGTCGGGACCGAGAAACGTTTGCGTGAGGCGCTCGGAACCGTCGACCAGTTTGTCATGGACGTCATCTCCAAGACGATGGACATGCGTAGCGCCAATGAATCCGAGGACAAACCGCATAGACGAGACATTGTGTCTCTCGTTCTGCAGAACGAGACTGTGGATGGGAAGCCGGTAGACCCCATTCTGGTGCGTAATGTGGTGCTCATGGCGTTGATCGCCGGGCGTGACACGGCCGCGGACGCCATGGCGTGGCTGTTCCATCTGCTCACACTCAATCCTCATGTAGAGGAGAAGCTGCGTGCTGAGCTGCTGAGTAAGCTGCCCAAGCTGGCAACGGACTTTGACTATGTGCCGGATATACAAGAAGTGCAGAGCTTGCCGTACTTGGAGGCCACGATCTGCGAGGCATTAAGACTCTTCTCTCCCGTGGGCTTGGCCCAGAAACTCTGTGTACGCGACACGGTCTTTCCGGACGGCACGTTCGTGCCCAAGGGGTCGAACATTGCCCTGGTGTATCATGCTATGGCACGGATGCCGGGTGTCTGGGGTGCTGATGCGGCATCGTTCGTGCCGGAACGGTTCATTGACCCTCAGACGGGAGAGATGCTCAAGGTCTCGTCCGGTAAGTTCAGTGCCTTCAATACCGGTCCGCGCGTCTGTGTTGGTCGGAAACTTGCGATGATGGAGATGAAGATGGTTGTTGCGTGTGTAGTGAGTCGCTTCCACTTGGATGAAGTGCCGGGCCAAGACGTGGCCTGTTCGGGTGGACTCACTATCGGCATGAAGCACCCGCTCATGATGCACGTGCAGAAACTCACTGCGACAGGTGCCGTTGCTGTGGGCGAGGCAGCTTGATCATGCTGGTAAGCTGAATGATACAAGTACATGTATATGTTGACGTTAAGATATTGAAGCTTAGATAATGTATGAACTGGGAACGCAAAGGCATCCAGTGTTTCTCTTCACTACAGTTTATGAAGCAACGCCTCATTCAATTCGTATTATCGGACACAAAGGCCGACGTGTTGCTTCTCTTGACTGTAGTAACGTGAAGTTCTTGGGTTGTTGCTGCCCATGCGTTCGACAGACTGTCACGTCCTTGCGTTGTGCCACAAATACGCAGCTTGTATTTCTTTCTGAAGATGTTATTCGTTGCCATGTTCGTAAACCCAGAGTATCATTCACGTTCTCGATGTTCATCGCTGAATAAGAGACCTTGCTGCGGTAGCTGGTAACTTGTCCCTCCAAAATATCAATGTTGCAGCGCTGAGCCTCCCCTTTCCAGCAGTCTACGTCATGAGTCCCCGACGCTGGTTCATGACGCCAAAAATGTCGCTACAATTGAGCAATAGAAGGGATGCCACTCCAAACGCGCGCGAACGCTCTCGTCAACGCTAAACTGGAGGTCTCCATACATTTGCGGGGAAGCCCTGACGACGCATTGGCGCTCTATGACCAAAGTTCGGAAAGACTTTTAATACCGTCACTGCCGGTGGCCACACTATAGATCCAGTCCATCTAGTACAGGTGATCCTCCAGTAATTTATCATCAATGCATGTTGTCGGCATCTTGAATTCATTCGGCTCTATTCATTACAATAACCAAGCGACACAATTGGCCCAGCGTTCGCAGTGCCAAGCAAGTTGTTTCTACTTCGTCGACTCCACAAGACGATCGACTTTCATCAACAGATCCGCTGCAACGTCAACGAAGCTCACGTGGAGGCATCGCACGGCCAGTAGTGGCCCAGGGACAGAGTGTCTATAAGCTCTGTGCGAACTGCATGCCACTGAATCCAATCGTCCCACAGATAGAAGCTTCATAACCCATTTGACGATAAGTCCACGACGTGAAGCCTTTAATTTCTACTCCATATCAGTCTTTGCGGCCGGGAGGCGGGCTTGGAGCTTCTTAGCAAGAGAACTTGTGCTCTGTAGGCATATTCGACGAATACGGTTGACAGGCACGACGCGCATGCTGGGCAGCTCGTCGTCTTCTTCTTAGGCGGATTCACATGAGTTGTGCCACAAAATTGTGCTTTAAACATGACAAGGAAGGACATGTTCTTACCACGTAACGTATGTAGGATGCAACCAGCGGTCGTCATCCATATGGACATTCTTGTGCCAGGGTCCGTTCTCGTTCTTCTCGTGGGATCCAATCGCTATCTCCTTCAACTGCCAATTTGGCCGCCTTCTGAGCACGCAGACGATCGCCGATCTGCTCACTAAGTCTGCTAGTGGCACTGCTCTCGTTTGACATCGTCTGCGCCGTTGTGGACCTCATCAGTCGCCAAGACTTCGAGCGAATCGTTCATCTCATCGTTATTCACCGGCCTGACAATGCAATGATCACCATTCTCGCCTTCCACGAGTCGCTAAATGCAGAAGAGAAGTCCCTCGAGAACGATACAAGTTCGTGCAGGCAATCAGCAGCCTATTCCACACAGCAAGGCCGCATTAACGCTCACACGCCTGGTCAAAACTGGCCTGACGACGGTGTGTACATCCCCGCAGCACTATTCTGCCACTGTGCAGGATCGGACGCTGCTGGCGCTTCGACGAGCCCCCCTCAAAGAGCGCTGTTGTTTCTGGCTGGTGTGCCTGGCCAATTGTGACTTCACCTGAATGTTCGTAAGTGGTCATAAATGTAAATTCGCATAATTGTGTTCATTAAGTGCGTGCGAACTTAACGCTTCAACTTGAAGTCGATGTTAATTCTGACAGGTTAATAGCGAAGAATGCAGTGTCTTAGTGGTGTCGTAGCGTCTGGCCATGTTTCGAGCGGCCTCCAGTGCGGCCAGCCGCGAGGATTTGTCAAATATAGATTGCACAAAACGTGACCTTGGGCTGCAGCGATTTCCGCCCGTAGCAATTATACTCACGAGCTTGGGAACTCTACAAGACATTAAACCATGCACACTATTGAAGCAGATTCTACACATACCGCGTCCGATGCTACCCAGTTTGCCCCTACCGGTGCTCTTCGTACATGTCATACGCGCATTATCATTGGATCGAGCGTTGCGAGACGTCTCCAAGTTTTGACCCTGCACCATCCACGCCAACTTGGTCATCTGGCTGAAAGGTTCGTAGTTTATGGCCGATAAAAAACATTCCGCAGCGATCGGAAGCATATGAAGGTGTAGCAACTTGCTCTAACGTACTGAAAGAAATGCATCAGGGGGTAACTGACGCATTCACCGTTTAAAAACTGTAAGATACCGGTCGTTGCGGTGTAGAAAAGTCGCGGTTTTAACGAATTCATCGATCCCAGACGGAGATCTCGCTACATCCACTTGACTACAACGGACAAGAAGGGTTTTGTACTGTAGAAACGATGATCGGGTCTAAAACGGCGGTATCGTTGACGTCGTGGACGCATGAAGCCTTAATGCGTATGGTATCCCGGGTTGAATTCATCGCACAGAGCATGAGATCGTCCATCTTGTCAGGAAATGCCCTGCGCTGAGCAAAACTGGGGTGGCTTTATCTCGGCGATCTTGGTCCAAAGTTTATGATGTGGTACACTGGTAAAGTGTGCATGTACATGTAAGCACTGGAAAATACTCATCGACTATCCTGCTGAAGGGTTCCTGTACGTTCTCCTCACTGAGTATTATTGCGAAATCCTATTAGAATGCCCTCTTCCTATTAGCATATCATATTACCTTACATATTAATCGGATTTGGATATCTGCTTTGAACCGATTATGGTGTTCATTGATTGGATACAGAGGTTAAAGCTGTTTGGTGAGGCTATTGAGCAAAATAACTAGTTGTTGCGGACTCGCGCGCCAGACTAGAGGCGATGCTTGGCCTGGGAGGACAGAGACTCTTTCCAATCAGAAATTTGGACATTTTTTTTTAGGATTTTTAAAATATCCTAAAGTATTCTAAATTTTGATTTGATGATACTAAGGCCAACTGAGGCGAGTGGGTGGTATGCGTAGCCAAAGAAAGCTGCGCATTGCACAGGCCAGTTGAGAGAGTCATTTTCTTAGGTGAGTTTTTGTTTATTATTGTAATATTGTGTTCATTGCATTCGTGTGGGCTGACTTACCAGACTTTGAAAAGCTTACCTTTTAGAGCTATTATCAACATGTGCTAAACGTTTGGCTTCATTAAGATCGCTTTTTAGATTTCTATATTGCTTTTGTATTAGACAAAGCCATGGTGACGTCGAATGTGGGCGCAGATGCAGCGGCTGGGAAGCAGACCCTGGAGATGCGTTATAAAATAATTGCGCATCAGCGTCACTCTTGCGGGTGAAAATAAATAGCTAGTGAAGTTCTTAAAATTATAAGTTTTTGAAAAACTAAATGAAATATTATATCATAATATTCACACGTAGGAGTCTGGCTAATACAACAATCCATCTCCCACAATACGCATGGAAAATGCAGGCATGCTGACCTTTCTCGTCTGTGCTGCGCAGGCCGAAGTGACGCTGCTGCGTCACCATGCAAATGGTAATGTTAGTTAAGTGTGAGGTGCGGTTTGGGGTTCAGCCGCCACTCACTACATTGCACATCATAATCATCCTGGGACGAGGCATCTGGGGTTGACATTGCCTGAGCGTCCAGCACACGCAGTCCGAAGATGCCGGGCCTCACTGCTTCCCAGCTGAGCCCAGATACGTTGTACCCTGGTGATAGA